CCCCCCCCCCCCCCCCCCCCTCAAATCAAATATCCAAATGGTCCGTCCCTTAAATGCAATATTCATAACATTGATAAACATTCCTCTCAGGAAACACGGAAAATGCTCTTCCGAGGCTTCGGAAACGCAAATCGAACCTTGCTCCAAATCGAATTCGAAACTTGCTCCAAATCACAAATATCACCAAATTATCACGCGGGCGCCATTTGCTAGGATAATGGCGACCCGGGGCCAACTTTTTTTACTGAAGTTACACATTTGTTCATACTTAATCTGTGGTAGCATGCGGGATGTTCGCAGTTTGATAGCAAAACGCGTTGTTCATTTTTAGCAAGAGTAAATCAAACAAAAAAATACGTCCACCTTAACAGGCTTTTACAGCTCATAGACTGGGTCAGCTCAACCTTAGAGGTTTTGCGCTTTCATTGATTCGATCCTTCACAGCATTCCTTGGCTGTCCATGGTATTCAAATAAGTCGAAAAATTGACAAAATCAAAACAGTAAAAACAAATTGCCACCCGATTTTGCTGGATGAAAGCTCGTTCTGCGTTCGCGCACAATATTTCACTAGTCAGCGACGCTTTTATATAAGGGGAATTTAACGAGGGTTTTTTACAACTTGAATTGCATTTTATTCATTATTTTCATCGGTAACCTATCTTCAAATTTTGACCACAAATTTTGATTTTAGTAAATATTATATATTTCAAATTTAAAAAAATCTTTACAGTGCCAGCGCGGGAAATCTTGTAATAAAATTTTCGCTTTTAAAAAAATCGCACTGTAAAGAATTTTATTAAATTTTCCCAACAGTTGCAGAACATCATGCTCTATTGATATATGAAATAAAAGAGATATAGGTCACCGACTTCATTTTTCAGTGGCTAAAATAATCTACGTTCACACACAACAATTAAACGGGCAGATTTCAGGTTTTGACAAATGTTAATGACAAATGTTGTCAGTTGACGATGTCGTCAGATGACGTTGACAGCCTATTTTTCAAATATCATTTAATTAAAGATGAATCGGCCCGATTAATCATTGTGTGTAAAAGTTACCTATAAGCAGGTTTTAAACATTCGCCATGTTGCCATGGCAACAGTGACATTTTCAAAACCGAGTTCTAAATATTCCACTGATGTTAGATATTGCCTCCAAGTAGAAAAGAAGGCACAATCTGCATTAATAGGCCTGTGTTGTACCTGTACGTCAGATTCCTACCTCTGAATTTAAAAACTACCTTAAAACTACTGTACCCTAAGCATCTCATATCAACTGTACCAAGCACGACTCCGAGCTAAAGCTTCTTTCCATTTCTCGTAATTTATTTCATGTCCATCTCTTAAGCTATGACGAGGCTGAAATAATTTCTCTGAACAGCGAATTGCTTTTAGTTCATCGCGTGATTTCCATACACCTTGAAAAGAAAAGTATGAAATTGTTTGTTTGTTTGTTTGAAGTTAGTTGATACAAAGGGAAATGTATCTAGTTGATATAAATATTCATATTTGTTTTTCCTTCGGTTTGCGCTAATGAATCTCTTGTTTGGTTTCTCTTCCGAATCTAAATCATGCACGCACGTATTGCTATCAAGTGGAATATGAAACCTTTCGGGTTGGACCGGATGTTCAAAAATGTTTGCTCATCCCGCGCGGGGCTGCAAAATGTTGCCACCACCAAAATTAGAATAACACGCGTACCTGCAGCTAGACCAGCTAAAAATGCTGCTCCCAAACATGACATTTCAACTTGAACTGGTCGTTCAATACTCTGTCCCGTAAGTGTACTCAGTAACTGCATTACGAAGTCGTTCTTACTTACACCACCGTCAACTCTGAGGTAGAAATTTATAAACATTTACTACATATTATCATGGGGGATGGGGGGGGGGGGCATTTTGCCCAGGCCCTCAGCTCAAAAGGAGCCCCTAAAGCGACGAATACCCTTAAAGTTTCCTGATACAAGATTGCTAAACCGAGAAAATAATCCTAGCTGCGTCATTGCCAGATAATAAAGCGTAAGATATTGTAAAACACCACTTCTCCCGTTTTACAATTAGGAAGCTTTAGATTTTACTACGAACACGTCTACGAGATTCGTTGTTTGCACACACTTGCCATCTTCCGACGCCATTACGTACGCACGCCATAATCTCGTGTCGACCCTTGTTATAGATTACGAGACTTCAAAAATTCCATCAATTGATTCCGCGTCAGTATACACGAGTAAGAATATGGCTATTCGCTTATTCAAATAGACGAATCTCGTAATAAAATCAAAAGCTCTCTATTACGACTCACAGGAGCCCCTGGGAAAGTTTTGTGATGTCATAAGGACCACTGGGAAAGTTTTGCCTCGAGCGCCGCGCAACCTCTCAGCGGCCAATCTGATAACAGTTTGTTGGAACAATCTTGTAAAATGTCCGCTGTTAACATACGAATTTTTATTATATTAGAGTATACATAAACGTCTTACTTTAGTGATGATATAATTGGTATTTGTGTTTCCTCTTGAACTGTAGTATAAAGTTGATAAATTCTGTAGAAGAAACACCGTATATAAATCCTTTGAGAGTTTGAGGTGGCTTGTTTATGGGCGAGGGTTTAATAGAGAGGGTACAAATTGATTCTATACCGAATCACAGCATGTATGAAACCATGCAGGAAACACAGTAAAATACCGTACGTGCATGGTGCCTCAAAATAACGTACTTATTTTTCACATTGCGAGGTCGCGTTAATGAGTCAGAATAGAAATAATTCTTAATGCCATATTGCCTTCGTTATGTTGTTTTTTCTCATTTTTTGTGCTGCAAAGACATTACAGGTGAATATTAGAGGGGATTATTAAACGGAAATTGATTAGAGGGGAATATTGAATATATTCCCCGATAAGTTCGATTTTCCCCGATAAGAACAAAGGAAACCGAGCAGGGTGAAAAATAACTGTTTTTATACACCCTGTATAAATACAAAGTGACTTAATAACTTAATATATTACAAATTTACAATCTAAATATACCTGTAAGCAATAGATTCTAAAATAGCTCGAACAATATGAGCTTTGGTTGTTGATGGTGTAATACCAAACATTGACGTACAAGCTTTGTTATCATTGATAGGAGCCTGAAGAAATAATGACAATATAAACTATTACAAAAAATAACATCTAAAACTTATGAACTATGGTTTTGCTATAATTATTATTAGCATGACAAAATTACTGGATGCTGATTGGTTGAGAGGAAATTGCCGTGGAGGAACTAGATGAAAATACGAATAAAAGCACCAAATTTTGCTTGAACAAAAGAATTAAATGAAAATACAAACAAAAGCACCAAATTTTGGTTCAAAGTCTGGCAGGACTGGGTTTTGGCGAGAGAATATAGTACTCGTGATGTTTGGAAATTTGCCAAATTGGACTCGCCCCGGCGGCTCGTCCAATTTTGGCAAAATTTCCAAACAATACTCGTACTATTAATCCCTAATTGCATGTACTCGCCATCGCATGATTACCTATACTAATAGTTTATGAGTACAATTACCTGTAAACCACCAAAGGCAGGAACAAAGTAAACACCATTGCAATCTAAGAATATATTGTAAAATCATAAATGCACTCACATGCACTTACAGAAGTTACAAGAATATATCAGAAAACTATTAATAAAAATATAATAAAAAATAATGGTGAAAATGTTGTGACTTTCGTCACTTGTAGCTGCTATCTAGACAGCAAACACACGTTGGCAAAGGTTGGATCCTCGTCACCTGAAATGCTACATGCATGAAAAGGAGTAATATTGGAGCAAGGTCAAGCAATATACAGCGCTTCACTTGTGAGTAGTTACTGTTAGTTATACCGAGGGGTACACCACCAAAAATGACCCTGAGGAGCTGCTGAGAGTGATGAAATTTACCAAGGCGAAGCCTGAGCAATGATATATTTTACCGAAAATCATTAACTTCCTTTTCATCTTCACTTCTATTTTTTCTGTTGCTTCTGCCAGGTTGGTGGCCGATGAAATGAGACGTTTAGTGGCGGACACTGGGGTGAGGTGGGGGGGGGGGGGCAGAGGGCGAAAACCTTTCACCGATAGCTGACAAACTATGTAACAAAGTTGTAAGCTATAATTATATTGCATGACATTTAGGACAAAAAATATTAAAGACATTTCCAGCAACTAAAGGTGATCATATGGTAGAAGTGTCAGCCACTGCATTGTGGAGAGAAGATGGACTGGGTTCGAGCGGGGTATTTCCGCTGTAGCGTGGCATTGGACGTCGAATACATGCGCTGGCGGAGGGCACGAGTTGGTTGTGGGATGATATTCACTGAAAAATACCATATGAAACGTTCTGTGATTGAAAAAGTTTATTGTGAGGCATAATATCGGTAATTATATTGTGCAACTTTTCTTGCTATTAATATTAATAGGAACCAGGGTCCACATTATCACAAAAAATATTATAATTTAATATAAATTTATAAATAACTAGGGAATGGTCATCGGGTTTATAATTACCTTCAATAGAGCTTGCAATCTTGGATGTCTCTGCTACTTTGTCTTTCTCATAAAATCCTGATATAAGAAAATCAATGTACATTTTCATTACAATGAGTCATTAAATTAACAGTTTTCTGCAACTCAAAAGGAAATACTTGAATTTTTATCAACCCCTTTTGTATCGGCGACGTTTCAAGCAGCTGTCGCAAAAGATAAATAGAAAACTGATTTTGGAGTGCGGTTGAAAAGGAATGACTTGATTACTGAATTTTTTTTCAAAATCCTTATGGAAATAGTATGGATCTTCGTTGGATAGAGTATGGAAATCCAATTTTCATACTAATTGTAATTTCCATACTATGGATATATAGTATGGAAATAATGGGGATATACTATATGGATACAGTATGGAAATAATGTGGATATACTATAGATATATAGTATGGAAATAATGTGGATATACTATGGATATATAGTATGGAAATAATGTGGATATACTATGTACTGTTTAATAAACGAGCAGGAGTGTTTTATTAGGTTTAAAGACACGAGCGCGCAGCGCGAGTGGCTTTAGACCTAATAAAACACGACCTGCGAGTTTATTAAACGGCTTCAAACACGACTACAAATTCAATAGATATACCGTCTTATTAGTATTCTTTATATAAAAAATACTAATGAAGACAAGACAACAATAGATACTGCCTTATTAGTATTCTTTATGTAAAGAATACTAATTAGGAGTGTTTTATCAGGTTTAAAGCCACTGCACGTGACATATTACGGTTGACATGATTTGCCAATAAGCTTATGAATTATTAATGAGTGTTTGAAGGATATATAGTATGGAAATAATGTGGATATACTATGGATATAGTATGGAAATAATGTGGATATACTATGGATATATAGTATGGAAATAATGTGGATATACTATGTATATATATATATATATGGAAATAATGTGTACATACTATGGATATATAGTATGGAAATAATGTGGATATACTATGGATATAGTATGGAAATAATGTGGATATACTATGTATATATATATATATATATGGAAATAATGTGTACATACTATGGATATATAGTATGGAAATAATGTGGATATACTATGGAGATAGTATGGAAATAATATGGATATACTATGGATATATATATATATATATATATATATATATATATATATATATATATATATATATATATATATATATATATATATATATATATATATATATATGGAAATAATGTGTACATACTATGGATATATAGTATGGAAATAATGTGGATATACTATGGATTTAGTGATGCAATTGCAAATTCCATAGTATGGATTTCACGATTTTTTCCAGTGGATTGTAGCCTGCGTAGCAGTCGCTTTATTTTATTGTAGGTTTTGAGGATTTTTGAATGGCGAGTTAGAAAAATGGACGAAGAAAAAAAAGGGCGAGAAAACGCCCGTTTTTTCTCGCCCTTTTTCTCTTCGCCCATTTTTTCTAATCCGCCATTTATTCAAAAATCCTCAAAACCTACAATAAAATAAAGCGACTGCTACGCAGGCTAAGTGGATTGCGCCAATCTCATAATTGTGCCGTAAAAATAATCTCAAATAAACGTGCTATGACATTAGTCAATGTGGAATAAGCTGTACTTAAAAAATGAAGGTACAATTACTTTGAGAAGTTTGGGAAATGAAAAAATGAAACATAAAATATAAAAAAATTATCAGTGAATGAGAGAGTTTGCTTATTGGAAGTATTCTGTATTTTAAATATAAGGTTTGTTTATTATGCAATGTTTTAAATTGGAAGATTCTGACTGTTCAAACATTCTTACCTATTTCACCCGCCCAGTCAATAGCAGTTCCAATCCCTGCAGCATTACCCTCGGCCAAGTACGTCACTTCCGATCCTATTTTCCATCCGATTAATGGATATAGGCCTGAAATTGAAACTGTACTATAGTAATAAGAAAGTCAAGCAGTATAGTTTACTTCTCACGTGTTTTGCAATGCTTTTGATCTGTTAAATATTTTATGTAGTGGTGTGTCGGGCATGGTGTAATACTGCGGGTATAGATTTTCGCCAGTTTGTAAAAAATAAAAATACTTCTCGCTGTTTTGATCGATGGTCCTGAATGTTCCTACTAAATCTCCAAAGTTTCCAAGTTGCATCCTCATGTTTCTCGAATATATCCATATGTATATATGTTCGAGTTTTAATAGGTTGATTTAAGATGCGATCGATTTCCACTGGATTCCAACGGCGCAAATAATGCTCATGAACTACTATATACAACAGTTTCAAAAAGAGATTCATAACAGGAACTTTCACAACTACGTGGCAACTTCAAATGCTGGATATTACAACAAGAACTGCACCCAAGACTCGCGTAGCCGCTGCAAATTTATAAAGTAGGATTGAGCAAAGGTGTTCCCATCCGAAAGTGGTTAGCTCAAGTTCCTAAGCCACCGAACACCACGGCAATTTTCGGTAGAAAGGCAGAGTTGCAAAAAAGTTGCGGTTATGCGCGGGCACCACCCGCGACCGTGAGGAAGGATTACCATGTAAGGTCAGCGGGAAGGTTTGTGGAACACTCTACTTTCCGAGGGTCGCGTTTTTGTAGCAATCGTAACATATACATCTGCTAACAGTCGCCAGCCTGTACTGTTTATGATCTGTACTGATCAATGCTAAATACTAGTCAGCTGGAAATAGGAATAAAAAGCCGATTTTGAATGAACATAATTTATATATTTTGCAAATTGTAAAAGCCATTAAATTATTCACATTATTTTAAGGAAGGTTCGAAAACCTGAAATTTTATACCCGGAGGAAAGTTGAACACTTTCTGCACCTCTGAAAAAAGGACAACGTCAATTACCGATCAGTTTGGTGAAGAACACAAAGCTTGAAAACTAGGAACAGTAATGACATTACGGCACTCGTGAAATCTGAACATACGAGAAGGCCCACTGGAGGTGAGAACAGAGAGAATGTGAGTTTTGACGAAGCAGCGGGTAAGGCCATCAGCAACTTGTGTGTGCAGATATCGCAGTACAAGGATCGAGAGAAAGGCTAGCAAGGCGAAATTTCAAACCGCCGCAAATGATTGCGAAATAAAGAAAGGGGAAATGGAAAAGCGTTGACTCCATCTATTCTTGTGCAATGTACATAACCAACAAAGTAAATGTGTAAAAATGGAAGAGTTCGTGGTGTCTCACAAGATAAACAGGAAAGAACTGTGGGCATGAGAACCAGCGAGGATTACCTTTATTATCAAGTTAACCTATGATGTAATCTTGTACTAAAAATCTCAGATGAAGATGAACGTAGATGTAGAAAAAAGGGGTAAGTTAGACATATTTTGTCGAACTGCAACCTTGCTCTGAACAGGTATACATGGCGCCATAATCAGGTATATTGGCGCACTGCACTACAAGATAAAATCAGTGGCATCAATGAGAGCAAGTTGCCAAAAGTGGAAGAGCGAATTTCCACGAAGGAAAAGAAGTTGGGCAACTGTTGGAAAGAAATCATCTATAACGGACGTTCGACGTTTCTCCGCTCAGTTTTTTTTTCTCTCGTGAGAATAAAACAGCGATCAGACATCTTTGTGTGGAACGAATAAGCTAAGCTTGGAATTTGATATTGGACCTAAAGGTCCCGCAGGAAGAGAGATTTACTGCAAGGAAGCAGCATATGAAGAACTTATTGAGGATGACAGAGTTAGTGGTTGGAAAACCGGATATTATCATCTGCCAGTATATTCGAAGGAAATTGGTCAATCTCTTCAGTTATATTAATGAAACAGTCAACATACAAAGTGCTAACAATAATAGAGGCAGTGGGAGTGTGTGGATGCAACGCGACAACACATTATAATTACGTATGAAGGTTAAAATGTGTTGGCACTAGTGTTTGGAACACCTCCTTTATGGGTGTGGGAGGGGGCGTTCTGTCGTAAAATAGTAGAGGAGGGGCAGAAATTAGACGTGGTTATTCCATGATGATGTTGCAACAATTGAATCCAATAATGGAGATACCGGCTAGCTTATTAGGCAAGTGATTACTACCTGCTTATCGTGATCCCAATCAAAATCCTATATCCCTAACATAAATATATGTTTGTGCGCCAAGTATAACCTATTTTATTTTTTATCACGTTGACAAATACCAACGTCCACATATTGTTATTTTGATCCGTAAGCCTTGCTTGTCATCTAAAAACCAGACATGCGGTATATCAACATAATTATGTTAATAGGGACTCAAACTCACCTGCTACTGAAGCATGCGGATACTGTCCAGTATTAATATTTATAAAACTTCCTGTTCCCATGGTAAGATTTATGTCACCAACATCAAAACAACACTGTCCAAATACTGAAGCTTGTTGATCTGCAATCTAGATAAAAGATTCTTCATCACTAAATAATATTCATTTTGTTTTAAATGATACATGCACAATCATAACACATGTACAAGTGTATGAGTAAATTATATATTTTACATGTGTTTCATTCATGCGAGTGACCATGAATTGCTTCTGCATAATTTTGTCATGTATATTATATAAGTAATAAACTTGGTATCATCGTTTCTCGTGCAATTTGGAAAAACATAAACACGTGAATTTTTCAAAGACAAATTACACACGTCCTTCGGAGTCGAGCAATATTCATCGTCTTCGAAAAACTCACTCGTGCATGCAGATCAGTGTTTTCAAAATTCCTCTCGAAACTATATACTATTATACCTATACTATTACCAACACTATCACCTATACTATTACCTATACAGGCTATATTTCTTTAATATATCACTTTGTCTTTGCACGATTCACAAAGGAAATTCGGACAAATTAGCGTGGTACGTTTACCAAATGTAAAACGAAGTAACTGATTATATGCAGGCACTGCATGTTTGCTTACATTCTGGACGGGGGATACATTCGGGGTCTCGGGGAATTACATTTGGTTGGCGATATAAAATTCATAAGATCTAAGAAAACATACCAGTGCTGTCACAGGTATTCGTGCTCCGCCAAAAATATCCTCATGAGTTTCGCACAATTTGCCACTATATCAACGAAAATATATCACAGCTGAGGTTTTTTATTACAGTATAATATTTGCTTGGTATTTTAAAATTCTAAATGCATTGCAGTCGTATTATTACGTGATTACCATGCCACATATGTTATATGTGGGATACCATTATTTAAACATACAGACATAAATATTGTAGCAGTACATAAACGCATTTTTTTCTATTTTAGAAACTGTTTTTCTGCATGTGTGTATTTTATTTTGTACAGTACCTTGTATCAACGACTTCAGGCAGTATGGACAGCGGAATTTCAAAAAATGTTGTCATCAACGAACTCCAACACATCTGGTAAAAGTAAATGTTATATTCATTTTAACCACGCTAATGTCTTTACGTGTTGAAGAACAACACATTTAAAACTAAAAACAACCTAATAGAAACAATACGTGAAAAACAACACAGTGTATACAATAGATACCCACCACAAAGGGATCAAACATGCCTGTCGAACTGGCGTTGGAATAATCTGTTACATGACATTGTCCTGGAAAAAAGATTCGTTCTATGATACTTTATGAATTTTAACCTTCATAAATTTAAAAAATAAAATTCTATACAAATCCTAAATATTAAATTATTCAAGTTTTGCGATTAGCCGACAAACTTTTAGCTTACGGACATTTATCCGATAGGGGCATTAGGACATTTGACCGTAAAAACAATTGGCCAATGGAGTTGTCACCGAATTTTCAATTGGTTGATTTTCGTAAAGTGGATATCTAAAATTTATTCTGTTGTTGAAAGCCTCAGATATAGGCTATATATAAGAAAGGCATGCATGCATGGTGGTAAAATATTGTGAGGAGCTAACCTTTTGTTAATTTCCATAATAGCCAAGTATCCACTGTAGCAAATAATACTGACCCTTGACTTGCTTTCTTTATCATCTTTAAGTAAAGAAAACAACGACCAGACTATTTAGTGCAACTATTGAGCGGGAGAAATCTTCAAAACCTGAAACAATTTCTGCGAATTGTTCAACATCACTTTATTTTTACATTTTTGTCTGATTTGCACAAAGTTAGCTTTGAAAATGGGATTAGGCGCGAATCGGCTGTTGGTCACATCATTTTCAAGTTCAATTTCATGGAATCAATTGGAATTATTCACTATAAATTATACAATCAGAATATATGTTTCCTATTTAATTTCTCTTTCTATATTTATCAGCAGAGTGAATCAATGGCTCTGTATACAAAATTCGTTGCCAGTTACAGCACAAATGCTTCATGTCATTACTATATATATTGCTATATTATCACGCTACAGTATTAAAAATGAACATGCTGGCACATTTATTCAATGAAAAAATACCTCATTATTATTTTTCAGCACCCAACTTAATCTCACAGAAACCTAAAAAAGATTTTACGAACATATACCATTCATTGATAGAAAACAGTATAAGTCGCATTTCATAAGAAATTGCATGTGGTGTTAGTAACAGACGTTGCAGCCATATAAACCTTGGTCAAAACACCAGACTGTGAATTAAACCCTGTGGGCAGGTTAGCCTTATTTTTCAATACACTTTATGGTCATTATATCTTGACAACTCACGTGTTGGGTTGAAAAATTTATAACACTAGCAGCAAGAAATTGTTTCCGTCTTGATAAGAAATGTAATGCTTTAGCACTTAAATGTAAGCCCTAAAAATAAAATGACACAAATAAATATGAACAAATTAGCAGATAGATCTTAGTGATGTGCAAATCTGGCACTGGCTCCAGCTGCTTTACAGCTCAAAGCTCCAGCTGCGTTGGTTCACACAACACAGGAGATGTAAAGTCTATAACCGGATAATGGCGGATATTATTCAGCTCAATTTTGTCCCAAAGATACGACTTCAGATTATATATGATTGTACTTTCAATAAATTCGATGTTGCTATTATTTCTCAGTAACCAACACTAATTCTACAAAATTGTCACATTTCTTTCCTGCCCGAGCCGGAGCTGGGAGAAAGCACAGCAACTCCGGTTCCGCCTGACCAAAAAATGCGGGAGATTCGGCAGAACTGATCCGGCCTTAGGCACACAGCACTTACAGATCTAATTACAATACAGTAATCTTTACTCGCCTTCATTATTATTCAGTACATATACAAAGGATAAATTATAAATGACTAAAAATTGGTGGTTTACTTTTCTGTACATACGTTCAAAAATCTAAATATGCAATACATTGCTCTCATGCATACGCACTATATAGTCAATGTTTAAAATATATACGCGAAACATTATTGAACAGATTTTGTTGCGGAACTTGTGATTCCACCGTCTGGTTCATTCAGTAAACGCTCAAGGGACTGTATTTTATAATTGTATTGATTGTAATATGTGAAAGTATACTATTTACAACGTGAGTTTTAGACTGTTAAACATTCCGATTGTCTCGCTACGATCTGACGGCAACAATGACATTCAATCACTCCCTAGCTATTTGATTACCCTACCAAATTACAATGTGTCACTGTGACGTATCAATTTACACATACAAAGACTTATTTACGATTTAACATGAATTACGTCAAGCACAATACCGATATATTACATGAAGTATATTTAAAGTTGAATGAATTGGCGGCGCTGCGCTGGGAACCTACGACAGATTTTGTTCAATAATGTTATAGTTGAACAAAATTATTTTGGTGTTTAAACTGTCTTTCGTTTGCAATGATTCAGCAAACTATAATAAAAAAAATAATGTAATTTTCTTGTTTCACAAACCGTAACTTATTTCAGTGCATAAAAATCATTTTGCCTCTCATTCCAGCCTGGGAATTCGAAAGCGGGACCGTATAAACTGATTGAACCAAACGTCTTCCTATGTCGTCTGCGCTACCAAACTAAGAGAGCAAAAGCTCAAAACAATGGGAGGAATCGTAGTGTATATTAGACAAAATAACATACCATAGAGGACAGTGTATATATAGCATATAATTAATTACAAATTCTGCCATAGCTATGACCACCAATCAGCAATGTACGTCCAAATTCACCTTCCGCGGAAAGTACGTCATCTTGTGCTATCTGCGACGCGGACGCGACTAAAAAACAGTCGCTAATAATTGGAGACTAGTTTTACTTTGTTTTTCTCGTGTCCCTGGCCTTGTTTACCAACAACAATCCATACTTTTTACCTGTGAAGTGAAACTGTGATAATAGCGGCAGTTTTTCGTCACGCCCGCGTCGTAGGTTTGGTGTATCTTAAGCTCCCTAATGTCACATTCACGAAAACGAGGCTCTATAACCCAAAATGACGTACTTGCCAGTAGGGCTATTGTGTTAGCACGCAAATCTTCACAATTATTACGGATTCTGAAGTTGACGAGGAGAATGGGACCGAGTCCCAAGTCTTACTAATTTTAATATCGATAAAGTTCATTTCTTCTCTTTTTGACGCGCGGTCAGAGACTCCTTCATCAATTTCAGAATGGTGAATTACAATAAATAGATTGTTACCTTTAAAGTAAACGATTTGTTCCAATTCTCAGTCAATTCCGTTGCTCTTAAATCTTGCCAAGTAATAAAATTATGTATTGGACGACCACTGTGTCTACAGGAAAATAAGATTGTGGTGAACTTCAGAAATAACTAAACAGGCGAACAAAGATGGAGAACCTTTGTAATCAGTCAAACTTTTGTAGCTTTTTGTGAAATCTTGCGTTCACAATGTGATTGTTCTCACTGATGGTGATATCAAAATTGCATGTTGAAGAGCACAATTTTACTCCTGAAGACCTTACAATACAATACAATACAATACAATACAATACAATACAATACAATACAATACAATGCAATGCAATGCAATGCAATGCAATGCAATACAATACAATACAATACAATACAATACAATACAATACAATACAATACAATACAATACAATACAATACAATACAATACCAGGGTTTTTTTCAGGGATTTTTTAGGGCCGTTTTAAAACTCAATCTTGAATTGAGTTTTGAAACTCAATCTTGTCATCAAAAGATTCTGTGCAGTAAAATGAAGTTGTTTGAGTTAAATTCATGACGTGTGCAAATTAGTTTTCAGTTGAAAACCCGAAAATTAAGAGAAATATGGCTGGAATTCATTTCACAACACAATAAAAACAACACATTCGCAATCTTTAACCAGTTTATAGTGTCCTTTAGTGCCCCTGCTTTAACACATTGCATCTCAACTACACTGAAGTGGGCAGGGGGGGGGGGAGACAGCCGCCCCAGACCCCCAGCTGTTCAGCTAAACTCAATCTTCTCTGCAAAAACGGACCCAAGAGAAAATCCTGAAAAAAACCCTGAATACAATACAATACAATACAATACAATACAATACAATACAATACAATACAATACAATACAATACAATTTATTTAAAGTCAATAGTATAGGGAATGATTGCTTCCCGAGTCATAGTCTCATGTTAAAAATACTCGACTATCTACTCTATATGTACAATCATAAAATAGGTAATTAGACTATTTAGATAACTAGAACTAAATTTTAAAATATTATATACATCTCGCACACTTACAACCCAGATTTGACTTGTCAGTAACATCTATTTTAGAAATTTGAGTACAAAACTCGGTTAACGATTTAGAGTTTTTAATATCAAAAGGAAGTTCAATCCAAATATGTGAGATAATGTACGAATACGAATCATGCTGAAATAACATATTATATTTTAATATCAAAGTTTAAACCACTGCAGTTTCTAAGATTATAGCGTGTATTCCGTACTTTAAAAAGTTTGAAATTATTGAGCTCCATGCCAAAACAAGTGACTGTTCAAATCGCCTTTGTTCCAAAATACACAGTGACGTACGCCATATTCAAAACAGTTTCGTAAACAGCAGTATTGCCCATATTAGATAGGGTAGAGCTACCTTTATCATATTTTTTGGTCGTAATGGTTGGCGGACTCCAATTTCCTATCAAGGCATTTCCCAATATCAAGAAAGACAGGACAGCAAAAGTGCAGTAGGATGTAGGCCTTATACAGTTTGCGCTACTTCAATTGGGATGAAGCACGTTAGACCTCACAGAGCTGCCTCTTTAGCATTAACCTTTTCAAGGATTTCATTCTTATGAAGTTCAAACGTTAGGCGCTTGTCCAAAGTAACACATACAATTTTAATATTAGTGGCAATTGGAATCGAGCTATCACCAACTCTAAGGTCGTAATCAAAAGGAGGAGAGTGGTTTACAAAATACACAGTTTGATTAGCATCTATTATACAAATAATGAATGAGTGCAATGGTAAGAATATTTTCATGAGGTGAAAGATGGAATGTTCCATTCAACGAGGCGACAGCCGAGTTGAATGGAACATTCCATCTTTCACCGAAATATATAGTTTTATATAACACCAAAATAGACGATTCGTATGAGAAGCATGTTGACGGATGCGATTTATCGAAAGCACAAAGAGTGTATTCAATATCACGTGACCATAAACAGCCAATTAAACTATCAGAATTCAATAAGGTATTATATAAAACATAACTAAACATTTTGTTTTATTTAAAACAGTTCTTTTGTTTATATGGCTTACAAAAATGTAACTTACTTATCAAAATTTAGGAACGTTCCTCTCTGCGTAGATATACCGAGAGCAGCAATATCTTCATAGCGGACATTTGCTCCTAAGTTTAAAAATGGTTTACAACATTATACATTTCAATTATCTAGTACATTCATTGCACATATCCAGCCTAGACCTAGGCCTTCTATTTTTATTTTTATTTTTTTTTTAATATTCAGCTGGCACATATCTATATTTAATAGCAATCTGACACTCACACGCAAATATAATTATGTATTTGGTGTAGCTATAGGTTGCATAAGTTATTTAAATTCCATCAGTACATGCAAAAACGTCAGAACTTCCTTTGCAAACATTGAAATCCAAATGTACCTTCGACAGCTTCTGTGACAACATCCAGAAATTGTTCCCACAATGTGTCTGGATCCATTTCAATCCATCCTGGCTTCGGGTGGAGCAATTCAATCTAAACATTAAGAATGGTTTGCTGAATGCAGTACATTTTTCTTAAGTAAAACCCAAGTGCACAAAAGATCATATTCCTGGTTATTTATCCACCGATGAACATAGTCTGGTTATTTAATCAGGAAGTCCTGGTGAAATGAATTACTAGGCAATAGGTTAAAATAAGCAGGAAAATTAACCAAGGGTATTAAGTTAACCCAAGTAGAGTTATTTCTAATTTAACCAGTCAGAGTATTTTTAGAGTGTGTTTAAGAACTTCCATGTACACTATGATATTTTCTCTACTCTAGTTACTTCGCATTTCAAATGCTATTTGACTGCTTTGCAGTTTTATGCATTTTAAGGAGGAGATTTCTTCTTGCATGGAACTTCTTTCAACAAACTTTTGTAAAAATCACATTCAAAAAGTCTCATTTATTTGGCACATAACTTAGTCAAAGCAACTCGTCGCATTGTGTAGCCAGGTACCCATTTCCAGTGACTACAAGTCTGAAGAAAGATATTACACTGGTGATATTCTGTACGAAAACTGCTGGGTTTCAAACCATGTGTTTTCGATTTTCAATTAAAAAAGTAAGTCTATAAGAGAAAATCGTCCTATGAATCCCAGCAGTAATGCACCGGCGTCAAATTCTATAAGCATGGAACTCAATATAGAAGATTTCCTTTGTTACAAATGCCAGCCGACCCTACATCTGTGAGTTCCTGCCACGTCGCGTCAGCCACTATTAGGGAGTTTAAGATCTTGACGACAAATTACCGACTACGTTTGAAATAGTTTTTGTTAATGTATGCAAATAATAAATGCTTGTCATAACAAATTTATCCCAAATATGTTTTATGTGCATGCATGGCTTTGTGTTCGGTAAGTTTCATCTTTTAATTTTCATCATTTCTTTACAAAAATGCTCTTCAACCTGCAACGTTGGGTAGTCAGTTTCGGTGCCATGTTCTTGATTCTGTTTTACAACACAAGAATGTGATTATTACGCTGTAGCCAAGGTCGCTACGTACGGTGAAAAGTATGCTCTGGGAATATGTAAATTTTGTCTGCCTCAGTTAAAGCAATGCGAAAACAAGCTTTCAGCCGTATTCCGTACCCGGGCGTACCCGTTGTTCGTTGTCGCATCTTTAGCAGTTTAGGCCTGATTCCGCGACGGCGAAATTCTTCGCGAGAAATAGACAACTTGCATGTTTAATAGACTAATTTTTGATTTAGGCAAAAAAAAGTAAATTCCCGTAAAGAACTTACTAAAATCAGTAAAATTGCAAAATTTGGTTACGAAATGTTGTAAAATACAGAAAATATAGTCTTGCGAAGTTTGCATATTTTCAGTATGTTTGTATTACGTGCGGAAATTGTTACCATTTTTGAGCCGAAAATGGTAACAATTTCCGCACGTAATACAAATATACTGAAAATATGCAAACTTCGCAAGGCTATATTTTCTTTATTTTACAACATTTCGCAACCAAATTTTGCAATTTTACTAATTTCATTATGTTCTTTTTAACTGTCGTGTTTGATTCCCTTCTCTTTAAGGTCCAGACACACCGGGCGCGATTCGACAAGGCGACGCGATTTTTTAGTTTTTGAAAGTTAATAAAACAGCCAATGAGAGTAAATTTTAAAAGATATGTAGACCAAATAACTCAAAATGTTATACCGCTTCTAAATATTTGGAAAATTTAAACTAGGATCAAAGTTATCGTTGAGTGAAAACTAGAAAAATCGCATCGCCTTGTCGAATCGCGTGGGGTGTGTGGACCCTTACTTAGATTAAAATTTAGTCTAACATGCAAGTTGTCCATTGTGTGATTTGTGTCTGCGAAATACGGATGGTTGCACATGAGCGATTCTATTGAATTTTCCCACTTTTTCCGCTTTCGCAGTAGAACTGACTTCTACTCACTGGTAAAGCGAAATTTTTCTCGCGAATCCTAATTTATCTTTACGGCGCATGTACCTAATTCATTGCGCGCGAAAGTTTTCGCATTTCGCCGAAGAAAGCGCCCGAGGAATCAGGCCTTTAAACTCCCTAGTAATTAACTTAGCCAACAGGGCCACATTTTCTTGCTCAAGTTCAACAAGAAGCCAGGCGAGTCGGAAAAGAAAACGGACGGTAGATAAGCCATCAAAAGTTATTTAATATAAAGATAGTTATAAAGTTATTCAGAAAAAGATTAAAAGAAATTCGGGAATCTGATCGCATATTTCCCTCCACACTCCCTGAGTGACCTTGCATCCATGTCCACAGGATATCCATGAATAACTTTCCCGTCTTGAGCATAATCTGAGTGCATTCTTGCAGTTATTCCAGTTATAGTCAGTAACTCCTGGCTTAGATAACAAGCTCCAAATGATTTTGGAGTTAGCAACACAGCACGTAACTGCAAGTTTACAACACATACTTTTTGGAGTTATGCAGTAACTCAAGGCTTAGATACCTAGTTTTTTCATAATTTTTGGAGTTATAGTTTATTATAGCTCCAAATAAGTTTTGGAATTAGTCAGTAACTCCAGGCTTAGCAGGATGCCTAGCTTCTAAATTATTGTTGGAGTTATACCTAGCTCCAAATGATTTTTGGAGTTAGCCAGTAACTCCACAATTCATATTTCAACTCAGTTAGTTTTGAATTACAAAAGTTACTCAAGTGCATATTTTGGTTTGGAGTTAGCCCTTTAGACTTTGGAGGTAGCGTCACTCCATAACTTCTAGCCTGCAAGCAGGCTCTCTGGGTGAAAGAGAGCCTGCAAGTATCCCTATGATGACTGCATGCCGCCCTTCGATTAGGATGTCACAGGTCAATTAATAATAACCAATCAGCGCAGACTGGAAATACACTTCAATATTGTAAACATAAACCGATTTTATATTGTATTCTTTCGTTTATAGTTTCGTATACAGACCGCCACTGGGGCATACTAAAAAAGTTAAAACGGCTCAAGGTTTTACAGTGTAATTTTTGTACTTTTTATTACAATCTGCATGTGTTTCTGTAGGCACAGTAAGTTTAAAGTTGTATATTACCCGCTAACTAATTCAGTTGTTTGGAATTGCTTCATGCTGCAATCGGCAATAAATATATATATATATATATATATATATATATATATATATATATATATATATATATATATATATATATATATATATATATATATATATATATATATATATAGTAATAATATAACTTACTGAAATTTATGGCTTTGGTGAGACATAGACATATATGATATACCATGGACATTGGACATAATTTAATAATATGTTTATAGTTCAAATTTTGCAACAAAAAGTGGAATTGCAGTAAACATGCATGTGATAATTATTGTAAACAAAGTGACGAGTAAATTACTGTACATTTTAACGCCGCATACTTATAAATATTAAATAGTCAGTATAACATTGTAAAACAAGCTTAATACAAACAATATGCACTGAATATTATCAGAATAATTCTCAATATTGTTTCATGAAAGAGAAGCGATATAATGCCTTGTCCCTAGGTTTCGGTTTGCGAATTTGTTCAGTCTTTTCTTAGCCTAGAAGTCAGACAAGCCCAGGACACTCAATAAAGCATGCAAGCTTTTAGTATTCGTCTTTATATGAATACTATATTAATTTACAGTAAAAAGTCAACAAGGATACAAAATACATGACACTTTTATCTCTACATTGCCGCAATTCCGAAGCTTTGCGTTGCTCGGTTTTACAAACGGGAAGTGTAGTTTACCGAAGCTTGTCAATCACTTCATTTGAATCAGTTATCAACCAATCAGAGCTCTGCGTCCAAATATTGGACGCATGCACGTAAATATCATTGGGATCTTTGCAGGCTCTCTTTCACCCACAGAGCCTGCTCGCAGGCTAGCACCTTCTTATCCTTAGGATCCTCTAATTTGGCATATAGGGCGGGTAGACCATCATCGTGTGGGATGCTGGGGTAAAGACTCGTAACATCAGCGGTAATTAATAATGCATTTTTGGGTATCTTTCCAATTTCTTTAAGTTTCTCCAGGAAGTGTCCTGTATCTCTAATGTAGGACTTATCGGCCTTCATAATGGGCTTCAGATGATGAGCTAAATATTTTGAAGCTTTCTCGGTGGAATTTCCGCAATTAGAGATCACGGGACGTCCTGGTACATTACTTGGTCTCTTATGAATTTTGGGTAAAAGATATAACCGACCTAATGAACCCGAGTTTTTATACTCGTATGATAAATACCTAAGTTCATCTTTAGAAATACTAGCCTGGTCATATAAATCTTGAAACATTTTATTACTTTCTCCCACTAAATTACCCATATTTTCATTCGCAAAATTCTCAACCTTAGTATAAACTTTATCATTTCCGAGTTGTGAATATCCTCCCGCTAAATAATCGTCTCGAACCCAGACAACCACACACGATCCCTTTGTCCCCCGGTTTAATAATGACACTATTGTCTTCTATCAACGTTTTCAATATTTGCCACACATCTTTGTTTAAATTATGCTGCCATAAAGTTTTTAGGCGAACATATTCAAGTAACTATTTTTCAATTTGACTAAGAAATAGTTCTAACGCTGAACAGCGCTATGGTGTCGTCCAGGTCGATTTAGTGCGAAAAGCTGGAATTTCGCTAAAATCCGGCGTTACATTATCTGTAAAATACCACTTAAACCTCATTCTTCGACTGAACTCTTGGAAATCCTCTCTCAAATCCATTTCATTCTCTTTAAATGAAGTGTGTACAAATGCTAATCCTTTACCCAGTATTTTGATTTCGACATCGCTTAAGATTTCGTGATTCATATTCTGCATAATTAGTAAGATTGGGAGGGTATAAATTGGGTTCCCTTGTAAAGTAGGATTATATTTGATGAATACAATAAAGTCGAAACGTTACTTTATGTGTTGAATTGATTACCTTGTTCAATGCTGACAATAATATAAACGAGCAGGCTTATGACATTCAGTATATTCAAATCCTTATCAATAATTCATTAGGAATACACAAAGAAAATCATAAGATTGTCGAATCTTTATATGTGATACAGATTTCCCTTGATTTATATAGACTTTAACTTCGATTTTCTCGATTTACACAACTTATTTTTTCAAAACTACTTCGCCAATGAACTTACTAGATCAATAGTTTTTGAAGCAAATCGTATCTTTATTAATTATATCTAATTAAACACTGCTGCTCGTGTTTGAAGTAGTACATAATTTCCAGTCTTCAATCCAATGGTTCGAAAGCCAGCCGCGGCCTGCAGAGTGTGAGAGGACATAACGTATATAACACAACATGACATATAGTTATATGCCAGACACTATTGTTTGAAGTAGAAATCATATAATTATACGATTTTGTAAGGTTTATAATTTGAATCCATGCTTGTGCGCATTTAAAAAATTAAAACCAACACTATATATTTTCGATCACATCACGATTTGAAAAATATGGGTATAAGTTGTATGAGAGACTTCCGTAACGGAAGAATGGGGAAATCCCGCAGAAGTTTCTTCTGGTATACAGCGACTAGAAAACAAATGATATGGTGACGGTTAACATGCACCTAAAGTGCTTCAACGTCGACAAGGCGGGTAAGGAATCACACATGTGGGATGTGGCTATTTGCGAAGAGCCGTAGACGACTGCACGAGGTGCGAATTGTGTGTGAAATAAGGATTATTTTATACAAATAATAATTTATGGGTGCAATGGTGAAAATATTTGCATTATGTGAAGATGAAATTTTTCAGTCCACGAGGTCGAATGAATTCACTATTTCACGAATGAAAACATTCATCATTTGTTTATAATAACACTAAAATAAATGTTTTCGATGTTTCATTGTTATTATAATTAATTATGTTACTTTGTATTATATATTATAGACTTTGTTCTTGTTGTTCAAATCTTTCCTATGTATTGTATGCGAAAGTTTCTTTGTTAAATTAACTTTTGTAGAAGTTCATGATAAAAGAAAGCAAAATATTTTCATTAGCGTTCTGTACGAATTAAATTTATTTCATTTCAAAATGCGAGTATAAATAAGTTATAGAGTTTAATATCGGCAAAAAGCAGTTAGCCTAATCCAATTCACATTTAAAAACGTTTTACCTAGAGTTTCGTTTTGAATTTTATATTAATATAAAGCCCATGAAAATTAAAATAATTTAAGTGTTCAAGTTTCATTTATTTTTCTGCAGGTTTGTACAAAAAATTTTAAAAAAACAATTATCGATCGTGTTGCCATGACTAACATGACGTGTGCAACGCGAGCCTGCGTTCAGTGTTGACGTAATTACAAATACTTCATGTTGAAACAATGTTTGGAGAATATAGGCGAGGGGTACGTTGTTGCGTGCATGTATTTCTAGTTTATATATAACTTATTTTGATCAGCACCGATCTACCACGTTCTGAAAATTGAAACGCTATACACCAGAAATCCGAAAATCTTTGTAAATTTCTAATTAACGATGTTTTTAAACAAAACAACAGAGCACATTATTTGAGAAAAAAGTTTATTTTGATTTCACGTCCGCTTTCTTTCTACTTTTCTTCACATATTCTTGAATATAAAAATTTCCAAACAGGATTAACAAAGAGATATCATAACCAATAAAGATCCAGAGTAACCAACGAGGATAGCTACAGCCTTCCACAGTCATTGCATGTATAACATAAACGAACACCATTGTAAACTGAAGCTGTTGAAAAAACATAAATATATCGTTATGTCGTAATAATGACTTGGAAATGTGTTCAAATTGCTAATCCTATTTCCATGATTCACATTTAATTGCAAAAAATCAGTAACAATTATGATCTGCCATACTATTAGAAACACATACGCCCGTATTCTAAAAGCTCACTCACACTCACAGTCAATGAGTGGAAGTTCAATCAGAGCTTCCTTTGAGTGTCAATGCTGTATTTGAATAGCTGGAGGGTGAGCAGTCACATAATACGGTACGGCACTAACCCTCCAGCTATTCAAAAACAGGAATGACACTCGAGAAAAGTTCCAATTGAACCTCCACTACTCATTGAGTGTGCATGAGTGTGAGTGAGCTTTTAGAATACGGTCGATAGTTTGGGAACTTTTTGAACTGGAAATTAGTATCTATAAGGTAGCTTTGGATGTGCAATTATACAATTCGATCAATTATTGGAAATTCGTGTATGGTATTGCATGTTTTTCGCTAAATAAATGAGTTACTATGGTACAAGTTAACAACGACATGATAGGAAACCAGTTTTATTGCCTCCAAATTTGAGAACAATGAATTCTACGTATAATGCATGAAAACAGTTTAATTCGTATAACTGCCAAAAAAAAACTCACCAATTGAAGTGATGTCAGATATTTCTTCCACCATAAGTATTTCTTGAATCGAGGACCAAGTGCGGATAACAAGTAATAAAAATACATGACTGCGTGTACGAAAGAATTTATGATAGCCCCAAAGTATGCTGAAATTTATTGGATATTAAACAAATGTTACATTTTGTTACATTTTGTTACTTACATCTTCTTCCATTATCAATTCTCAAACCTGGAAATAGTGTTTATTGTTCCACGGAAAATTTGACGTACATTACGCCAGATTTGAACACTGAACAACACTTATTCACAATCTCAAAATAACCCCGAGCCAACGGCGCGGAGCGCCGTTCCGGGCGCAAGCCCGGGGCGAGGGTGCTAATTCCGCCCGACTATTTACACACGGGGAAACGAAAGCATTAGCGAAGTCTAAAGTTCATCATTAATCGCGGGCGTGGGGCACTGTGCGTTTTGGGTGGGTGGTCATCACACTGATCTCAAAATTTGGATGTTTTCCTGGAGTGAAGAAGGCAAGGGATGTAAAAAATACATGTAGCTAAGAAAGCTTGGAAAATTGTTTCACATAACAAATTGTAAAACGTTTTTACAATCTTTAAACGTAAACATTTATAAGAATTGATTCAGTACGAGAAATCCTAAAGTATAGGGCAAGTTTGTTTCAGTTGTTTATGTTGATGACTTTGACATTTGTATTTAATATGGACTTTGTTCTTGATCTTTAAGTCTTTTCTATGCATTGTTTGCGAAAATTTCCTTGTTAAATTAAATTTTGTAGAAGTTCATGATAAAAAATAAAGCGAATTATTTTCGTTAGCGCCCTGTACGAATTAAATTTATTTCATTTCAAAGTGCGAGTATTAATAAGTTTTAGCTCGAGTTGAAGAGTTTATAAATATCGGCAAAAAGCAGTTAATTTTAATTCATATTTAAGAACGTTTTACGTAGAGTTTCGTTTTGAATTTTACATTAAAATAAAGCCCATAGAAACCAAAATAATATGGTATATATATTTATATATTTTAGAAATTAATTGTTCTGTATTTAAAAGTGTTGAAATTTCATCTATTTTTTGCAGGTTTGTACAAAAAATTTAGAAAACAATTAACGTGTTGCCATGACTGATATGACGTGCAACGCGAGCCTGCGTTCAGTGTTGGCCTAATTACAAATACTTCATGTTGAAACAATGTTTGGAAAATATAAGGAACTTGACATAATGATTACTTAAGATTTTCCCATTACGGAAGTGTGAAAAATTGTAAATGCTCTCAATTTTCTTACTCAGGCAAATGTTCCTCAGAAAACAGAATCCGGAAAGCTCACTTTTTTGCAGGTAACTCAATCTCAAATATGAAACGGCTGCTTCAAGAAATTGAACAAATCTCGTTTGGAAAAGTGGCTCACAAATGCAAAGATTATGAGGAACATTATCGCTTCCATAAAACCTGTCAAAGCCTCAAGGACACTGAACCATGCGATACTAAAGTATTGTAAATTGTACACACTGTATAATTGCAATGGTATGTGCATGGTGCTGAACTAGCTTTATGAATTGTTTATAATCTGAGATTAGATACTTACTTGTTCCTCCTAAAAACAAGACAAAAATAAATTAATAAAACTTATCAGTACTTAACATAGCAGATTTCAGAATGACTGGTTTACCGGGCTGCTTAGTTACATGTTAGCCAGCATCATACTATAATTACCATCACATTTGAAGCCCAACTGGCTTAGCGGGGATGTCTTTTAAATTAAACTAGTTCCCCGTCAGTCAGGCTAGAATATGTTCACGTTTGTCCATGTTTGGCTAATATGGACAGCATGTATATGTCAAACAGCTGCCGAGTTGGTACTGCGCATGCTGGTCAAGCTGTGCCATGTGGAACTAACTTTATCTTGATCGTATGAATCGAAACTTGCTTATTCTAATCATGTGAAGTCTTGTCGTATGAAGATCATGTGATTGTCACATGATCTGAAAAATAATTTGGACACGATCTTAAAGGTGGAATTTTCTCGACCTTTTCAGCAGACTTTAAAGATTTTGGGTTGGATAATAACACGAATATATATAGCTTATACATTGAAACATACATATGCGTGTAATACTAATATGGTCATTTAACTATGCTTAAAGGTACGCAGTCATACTTGTTATGGATAACATCAGTGGATTTAATAATTGGCAACGATTTGATCGAGGATATAAAGTATTAGTTTTGAGAATTATCATACCTGGATGCCATTTGACAATGATCCACCACAAAACACAAACACTGACATGATGGTAAGCATGAAGAAAGCTCACTGATTTCTTGCTGATAATCAGAAAAATCTTTGAAAAAAATACAGTAATTAGAACATATAGGCCATTGTAGAGAGATTCGGTCAAGCAACATAATATCGATAGATTCGAATCATTCCACTAGCAGTAAACATAACTTTCGGTACATGCAGCCCTTTGTTGAATATATAGGTTATCATGGTAAAACGCTTATTTTGATCAACTTTTTTTCCTTTAAAGTTGCTTGAGATGATGCAGGGCGCAGGAAGCTCTTTTTAATTGGGGGAGGGGTGGGGAGCTTAAAGCGAGGGCCGAAGGCCAGAGGAAAATTTTAAATTTAACGTCTCTGAAATGCCATTTTCTGGACTTTGGGGGAAGATTTGGTAGAACTCTGATGGTCCGAAAACAGCGTTTTAATATGTCAAAATTCACAAATAACAGTACTAAATGAGCGAAGGCGTATTTAATTAACTATATTTTGGATAAGTTGCAGGAAAGAATGGTTAATATCTTCTTTCTTTGCTGTTTTGCATGGATTAAATGATAAAGGTCTGCATGATTTTGAAAAAAAGGATGATTATTAGCAAATTATGGGGCTGCTAATAATTGCATCCAGAAACAGAATGTATTTTTCTTTTTAATTTGATAGTGTTTATATGCAGTCGTAACTTTTTAACTTACCGTATCAAAAAATTCCACGATCTTTGAAATAAGAAATAGCCAATTTACAATTGCATGCTAAAAATGAAATTAAAGAATTTTTACTAAAATATGTCCTTGAGCAGTCCGAATTAAGGGCCACATGATAATCAGTATTACTCTCTTTGAAAAGGCTGATAGATTGGTTGTACAAGTTTATTTTGTGTGCAGAATCACACAAAATCACATATCAGATTATAACACTGAGGCAAAATAAATATAAGTTAGACTTTGAGCAAAATAATTAGTCCTTGAGCAGTCCGAATTAACACTGAGGCAAATAACAATGAGGCAAAATAAATAAGTACTAAATTGTATAATAATTCTTTACTCGCAACAAATTTGGATGCTCTCCATTTTTCTCCACTCCTTGGCAAAAATAGTTGAAGTTTGGAATACCAACTACCGAAAGAATGAACTAAATGATAAAAATGAAAAATTTGAATGGCATTTAAATTTCATTTAAAGATGAAATATATTTTCTGACCAAACACACTAAGTTGGCTTTCAATTCAGTTATGATTTCAACGCTCGAAAGCGACGGCTTTTACCAAGTACAGCTTAATATTTGTACAAACCTACCTCAAATAGCATGTAAACAGATAACATAACTAACAAAGCATTGTAAATAATAAGAATTCTTTTCACATTAAATGCATCTCTCGTCTTCATTAATTGTTGACCGACTACGACAATAAATATGTATGCAAAAAGCAATGAAAGCACAGCCCAAGGTGTCGACATAAATATCCATTTTGAAGTTCTTTCATCTGTTGTAAAAAAGGTAAGCATACATTCCTCAACTTTATATTGGATGATAAAAGTATTTTACATTATACATGTTATGTAAGAACTTTTTGATTGGGTGAAATGTGTGTTCGATAACTCAATTGAGCACGACAAAAAAGCGCGGGAAATTTTTGGCTCCTTTTTTGGAAATATTGAGCCCGCCAAGATGATTTATATTTTCTCATGTGGTCTGAGAAATGAACGCCTAAGATAATTTATAATAGCTTATCTTAATTGATCATGTAAATATATTACATGCTGCAGCGTACCGAATATTACTAAAGAAACATAACCTGACGTCTCAGAGGACGCGAAAATGGCAAGACATAACCTGAAGTTCAGGCCCTATCACAGAATAAGGCCTGACACAAAACCTATCTAAAGTGTGGGATTCCCGGCCACCTGGTGGACGGGAAATCTGATTGGTTGATCAGCATCATGAAGGATTTTGATTGGTTGCAAGTTCACATAAACAACAGTTTTAAAAATAGCTCGGTCAAGGCGAGAATTAATATAAAGGTCAAACGCACGTAACAAATTCCATTATCGATTTCTTCGAATTTCTTTTCTTTTATGCTTTATGGAAGAAAATAAATCAAACAAACAGTATTTTGAAAGGGCTTCATCAAAATCTTTGACGAATTTTGGACACACACGACGCTGAAAGAACAGCCAAACTAGTCCTGTATTCGAAAGCTTGTTGTTGACAGCCAAGATGTTCTGCCAACTTGCTTCGCCGGCAAAAGTCTTATTTTTAATATCAGGTCCTACCGGCGTTGTTTTCTGAGCTACATCGCCTTCTTCGTGGTATGATTGAGAATTTAATTGTTGCTGTTATTAGCCCGTTAGTCGTTAGAGTATATCCGCGTCCAGCAAGTTGAGACCTTGAGAAAGCTTGGCAGTCAAGCCGTGCACAGAACTGACTAATTAAATCTTTGTTTGCTGTTCGCCTGTTCGGTTAAATAGAGAAACTGACTCTTAATTATATAAAAGTACCTTGAATTTTTAAGTTTAATTAAAAAGCAAAATGCTCTGCGGACATGTTCATGAGAATATAATTTTTTTGTGTAACGAAATCTACAACACTTGTCAATCATATTGCATGTGTGTCTAAAAATAACATGTGGGCGTCCCACGGTCTAGACAGGTTTTGTGTCAAGCCCTATTTCAAATTAGGGCCTGAACTTCAGGTTTGGCAAGACAAGAAGATTTTACTTCTGGTTGAATCTGGGCGTTTGTGCTACGCTTTATATATATATATATATATATATATATATATATATATATATATATATATATATATATATATATATATATATATATATATATATATATATATATGTTTTTCTTGCGGTCCGAAGTCATATGTTACGCTTTTCTGCAATCTGATTGGCTACGTGAGCGGTCCGTATGAGCCCGTACGGACCGCGCGAGATTTAAAGCCGTAGAGGCAATGTTTTTATTTTTCAAAATTTAAAGACGAGTTTAAAGGCTACTTTTTAAAATATTAAAATGTCTGCAGACGATGAAGAACACAGTGAAAGCGAACTTTACTATCTCACAAAAGATATTACTCTTCCCGATAGCATTGATAGAAACGACGTTTTATTTGGCAGCTTCATTCGCGTGCGGGAGGAGTGATTGGGGAAATCCAGAGGAGGAATTAAAAAAAAATAAAAATATTATTTACCGGTATGGTCGGTCCGTATAGAGAAATATTTCTCTCGGTCTTAAAAACGTCCCTCGGCCTTCGGCCCGTTTTTAAGACCTCGAGAAATATTTCTCTATACGGACCTCCAATCCGGTAAATAACATATATATATATATATATATATATATATATATATATATATATATATATATTTGAAAGCAGTCGTCGGTTTAATTTTGGTCAAAATTGCACATAAATTGAATTTAAAGATACTGATACTTGTCCAGGTAATAAAATGCACCATTAATGATCAGATTTGGATATTAAAGATGTTCGGTTTAATATATTTAAAACGCGGACAGGATTGGCATATTTATACTGTATGAATCTTAGCCAGACGGCATCAAATGCCGAATATATTTCGCTGAAATTTGAACGGTTTATCTTTATAAGACAACAGACCTCGGAAGAAAGAAAATTTTATATAATACTGTGGCTTAGAAAGCGAAATATTAGCTTCAAAGTAAACTAATTTGCTGTCTGAGCAACCACTTCTGAATGTAAACTGTAAACACAACACAAACCCGAGAAACTTGTATTAAAATTGCGCCGTGATGAATTTTCCAATTCGCCCAAACTTCGAAACGTTTAATATACTCTAACTTGGTTATACTTTTCTACATGACAATGAGAGCTTAATCTTTTAGAAGTTTTCGTCGAAGTCATGGCATATAGGAAGTATCAAGAGCAACATTTGGACATATCCTGGTTCCCGATTGATTGTTTGTCATTGTTATAAACAAAAATTTAAATTTCGCCTACTGCATTGCTTTAGCACTTTATATACACCGATTGTTTGTTGAACATGCGAGAAGATGATAACAATATTATTCTACGTTAACATCGTTAAGTTCAACGCTATAGTTTCCAAAATATATCCACGCAAGTAAACAAATTTCAAGTTTCAACCCAAACAATATATTCCAATGCAATGAATGCATGTGCACGGGCTTTTCCCAGTACTTAGCTAATCTCTCAATATATAAGGCGGCTTCCAATTGGCTCTAATGTTTTTGAACACTGCCAGATGATTGGCTCGGCTAAAACAAAGGGAATTGAATATGCAGCTCGGGTAAGCAGACGGTAGTATTTCGTCGCTTGGCGTAAGAACTACAACGTCTGTGAGCAGGCTACTGTGTTCCTTGCTTTTGCGTGAAATGCAATAACTATAATTAAAACTTGAAAAGTGCTTTAATAAACTAGAGTTTATTAAATGTAGTTACACTATTAGAATCATATATAATCCAAAAATGTCGTAGATTTAAACTTGAATTTGAAATAAAGTTAATTACCATCATATTTAGAATTTTTTCAAGGAAACTTAGTCTTATAAGACAAATATACTCCTGATCGGCCAAATTTTTATTTGATCGGAAAAAAGTCGTGATTGCCGATCACCATATTGAGAATGCTGTCTTTGTAGGATCTGGAAAAAAGTAAAAGTGCCAGCTATAAGTAATATGCTGGGGAGGGGGGCGGAAGATATTTGGGGGGGCCACCAAAAATTTATCAACCAGTTAGGGGGGGCTACCAAAAATATCAAAGAAAAGTAGGGGGGGCCACCAAAAATAATTAACAATTATTCGCCAAAGGCGAAGTGATTATCGGTGAATAAAAACCGAGACGAAGTCGATGTTTTTATTCATGATAATCACCGAGCCTGAGGTGAATAATTGTTTCAGTTTAATTTCATAGGTGATTATTTGAAAAAAAATTTTAAAATGCACATTTCTTCGTCTTTCAATTGACAAAACGGCTTCGGCCGCCATTTTGAAAATCGCTTAGGTGATTATCGCGTAATAATCACCTCAACGGTAACCAATCAGCGTGGAGAATTTTCAATAATCACCTATGTATTAATTATACTGATGTACAATAATCATAAAACATCAGCATTATAGTTCACTGCAATATAAATGTCAATGCAATATAAGTATAGGTAATCACACAGAAAGGAGTGCAATTAAGTATATTAACACTACGAGTAATATTTGAAAAATGCGCCAAAATTGCACAAGCTGTTAATTAATTGCCAGTGTTAATTGCACGACTTGCCCGAGTGATTATTTATTTTATGCATAGCATGATGAAATTCAATAAAATTCAACTTCATTTTGTCAAGAGTTTTTAATTCTTTTGTAAGCAATTTGGCATAAAAAAAACTTGGGAAATGATCATAAACTCATAAAGGCACATAATTTAAACTACATGGACAAATGATTCAAACTCAAATAACATGAAATTATTAAGAAAATCTTTATAAATTGTATTTATAGTTTTATACAGACTTACATAGTCACGTTTCGCTGCATCTCGTCGAGATTATTTCTTAAAACTGTTTCCTGGCTCCATAGGCTCTTTTTGTCATACTATGTTTTTAAACTCATTCTTGTGCCAAAATTTAGTTCAATTGAATTCGTCCATGTGGTTTTTATACAAGATAAAGATAAATTTCCCCTCCATATTGGACTTGTTGTTTTGATTTCCCGCTCCCCCCAGCCATCGAAAATCAAGCACCACAGGTAGCCCAAGACGTCGCTTGCGAGATTGGGCCGCCTGTGATCTTAGTATATGTTAGGAATGCAAGTTCAATCACGGGGGGGGGAGGGGGGGGGCTATAAAAATTTATTATATTTAAAGGGGGGGCCATGAAAAAATATTTTGAAGGAATGAGGGGCCATGAAAAATTTACCATGAGTTTAGAAATATCTTCCGGGCCCCCCCTTCCCCGGCATTAATAATGACTGCTCCCTAAGGCTGACTCAGTATAGAACTACGATAGGATGAGAAATGATGACAGTGGCGGACACTTCACGAAATATAGGGGGGAGGGGCAAAATTTTCAACATTTTCAACAAGCTATGCGAATCTTTTAGAATATGGGTTGCTTGATGAAATGAACAAAGAGTCCCAACTTGTGCCATTTGACTGACATTAGATACTTTTTCTGAGACAATTAATTAAAATTAATCATGTTGATTAGCGTTGTTGTTTAATGTACAGTCAATCGCTGAGTGATGAGAACGTCAAGAAGAGCAATACTGTGGATGTAACAATTGTACTGCATGTGTTGGGTTAAAAAAAGTATTTCAGTGTTAAGTGGGAATTTAGCCATGTCACTTGCCGGGTTAGCCTGCCTCACTGAAACAAATAGCAACTTGACCCGTCAAAGAGAGCCAGACCGGTTCATATGAACAGGCCTTTATAGATCAATCTATCCCCATTCAGGACAAGTGAGTCTCAAATTTTTCGTCAGTTATAAATTTTTATTACAATGTGAAAGGTGAATTTGTTCTGACTAGCCTGCAATATACTATATAAACCTCCGAATATATAGTGAGTCCCCCCCCCCCCTCAAGTATATAATCCCGCCTGTGTATAAGCCCTCATAAAAAGTTGAATAACATGCGATCGTTATTTTGCCAATAAAAAAATTATAAATCTTGTATTGCGTCGCAATATTGCCAATTCGCTCGCAAGAGAACGACTGCATGGTTTGATTCTATCAACAATAGTGCATGAAAATAAAATTTACACAGTTAAAATGTAATTTTGATTTTTGTGAAATGGCCATTTTTTACATGTGAAATGTGATCCGAAATCCCCTTTACCAACAATTCTTCAATTGAAATGTCGGAGCTCTTGCAAGCTATAATTATTAAAGAACTTATTACAGACGACTTACCTAAAGTTCAGGCAGCGGTAAACTTGCTCTTTGCCTTTGTGTAAAATCTGGCCCACAGACGGGACAGATTTCGTTGTCATTGCACCGCATCTCTCTAATATTGATACCGCTCGTATGTCCGTTGTTCGTCCTATGTTCATGTTGATTTTCATTTTGAGTTATTTCCAATTCCAATTTAACAGTGATTTTAATTTCGGCCATGTTAGCTGTAAAGAAAAAAATTGAAAGTGCTATCCAAGTCCCTTCATAAATAGACCTTGATCAGTATATTAACAATCTACCGATCTTGCACCTACACGGTTTGTCGAGATTTGAGATGTTTTTCTTGGTTAGCTGGTCAGATTCTGCTTGAAACAAAATTCCAAGGCGAAACACGTTCTATATATATATGAACATCCAATGTGATCATCCAAGGTCGTTTTTCTTCAAGCCCTGTGTTAGAATGCTGTATTTGTATTGAGCAGTCTCTTTTATACCACCTCTACAACACACTGTTAATCGTCTGTATACTGAAATTTGTTTGAACGTGCTACCCAGGTCTCCTTATAAATAGACCTTGATCATGTACATTAATAATCTACCGATCTTGCACCTACACGGGTTTTTGAGGTTTCTAATGTCTTTCTTAGTTATAGTCAGATTCTGCATGAAACAAAATTGCAAGGCGAAACAAATTCCAACGCGAAACAAATTCCAAGGCGAAACAAATTCCAACGCGAAACAAATTCCAAGGCGAAACAGATTCGACCTACACTGAACCGCCACTATCAGATATTAAGGAAAATATATAGAGGCCATGATTTTTGGTTTAATATAGTTTTTTGATACAACACATTTAATATATCAAATTAGCTAACACATGCACCACAGAAACTGACTAATACTCAATTTATTTATTTTCATTCATGTCAATTAAGCGTTCTATAAGTTTCCACTCTTTACCTATATAGTCTACATGCTTTTGTGATCATTATGAATACTCGTATATAATGTACTGATAACTCAGCTTCTTTCAAACTACAGTTCCACATATTTTTGTTTTTCAGTCTTGTAATAGTAAACAGCTGAAAGTTTGAAATTATAGTTCAGGTAATGGTTGCTCCACAGGGTGGCGTCGTACATTACGCTGGTTTTCCTTGCATAAATCACGGGTCTCCGTAAGTTGCCTTTCTAACTTTAATACTTTTTTCTTCAAAAAATTTAGCTCCTGAAAAATATTTGTAATATCAAGTTGAATAGTCTTCTGCTCGTCTTGCTTTGTGTCATCTTCCAATGAATCTTGTTGAACCATTGCCATGCTGGTGAGAAATTAATCCACGTTCTATATTTCTACTACAACAGCCAATGTGATCACCCAATATCCTCTTCAAGCTTTGCGTTAAAAATGCCGTATTTTTTACTGGGCCTCTTTTATACCACCTCTACAACACAATGTTAATCATCTGTACTGAATTTTAGTCTGTCTGAGCGTGCTACCCAAATCTCCTTATAAATAGACCTTGATCAGTACATTAATAATCTACTAATGTACTGATCAAGTTCGGTTTGTTGAGATTTCTAATGTGTTTCTTGGTTAGCTGATAAATTATTTTGGTTGGTTCATCTCTACTTGCAGCCGTAAGAACGTTGTTTGGGTGCCGGTGTTTAATCACTTCTTCCCATGAGTTTTTAATTCTTTTCGTTCTTCTTCCGTATTTTCAGCTTTTACTTTTTCAAAATTGTTCCATGCAATCGTTTTTTACTGGGGTTTTTTTTTCCGATTATCAGTATACCATAGTTCCTCCACCGCCGGAGTATGGCCGGATGAACCTGGTGGTATTATTTCATTCTCCAAACCATGATCGGGAAATTGTTCCATGACCACTCGACATCGTCGTACTCATTCTTTTTTTCATTTTCTAACTGTTCCAATTTATCTTTGTTATTTTTTTCTGGAGCTACATGGCAGATCACGTAATTCGGTTATTGCCTTTTTTCGATATGTGCCATATGCCTTCGTTGTTGGTCGTATGGACTTATGCATACCAGACAACGCCTCGTCCGCGTTCAATGCCGAGCTCAACAGTATTTGTTCTATTTCTTTTATTTTATGGCTCGCTTGGCACTCGTCTCGCTTGGCACTCGCCTCGCTTGGCACTCGCCTCGCTTGGCACTCGCCTCGCTTGGCACTCGCCTCGCTTAGTACTCGCCTCGCTTAGCAATCGCCTCGCTTGGCACTCGCCTCGCTTGGCACTCGCGTCGCTTGGCACTCGCCTCGCTTAGCTGTCATTCGTCCCAACATGTAATATTATTCTGTCCGGTTTTTGATAGCTTACATCGTTGCGTCGACTTTGGCGATAATTTTCGGCTCCCCGATAATTTTCGTTTCTAATTCTCTATCCACGAGATAATAATAATAATAATTCGATAGTGCCACCCGTTACGGACTGCCAGTTGCAATTCTGTATCCACGAGATAATAATAATGATAATTTTCTTTTTTTTTTTAATTCTCTATCCACGAGATAATAATAACAATAATTCGATAGTGCCGCCCGTTACGGACTGCCCGTTGCAATTCTGTATCCACGAGATAATAATGATAATTTTCTTCTTTTTCTTTTCTTTTTTTTAATTCCATAATAATGATAAATTTTGGCACTCGCCTCGCCTGGCACTCGCTTAGCGCTCGCTTTGCTTACAACAACAAAACAAAACAAAAAAACCCATTTATTTATACCAATTACAATTAGTTACATAAATTAGAAACATAAATTATATATTATTTTTGTCCTCCTGTTTATCCTCATGTTTATTCCCACTTCGTTGAAATTGTGGAAACCAACTTGTTATGCGTAGTTAAATAAAGTTATCATCATTCGTATATATATTTTCACTTCTGTATATTTTTACTTCACTATACTTTCACTTCGCTGTATTTTTGCTTCCCTTATTCTTACTCGATTTAGGAGCTCTACATCGCACACGACGTCTTGCATAATATGCGTCTTCTGACGTTCTGTGTTGCTCGCACACTTTTTTGCATTACGATATAGGAAAGGAACTCGGCTTCGCTTAGCACTCGCCTCGCTTAGCACTCGCTTCGCTTAGCACTCGCTTCGCTTAGCACTCGCTTCGCTTAGCCCTATCTTTATCAACATATTACAAGAACGATATGTTTATCTTCACTCATTCGTACTCGATTTAGGAGCTCAACACCGTACGACGTCTTGCATAATATGTGTCTGTGTTGCTCGCACGACAACCTTTATATGCAGTACGACGACCAATCACAAACGCACAACGCAACATGCACTTTGAACATCACGCCATCTCCAAACCTGACGCATACCTGACCCAACCGGTTTCACCAACACCTTCGATGACCCCTCTCCTTCGCAGAGGCTTACATAAAGTTTCTTTGCCAGGGAAAAGTGAGCGCGCAAGGAGTGATGGAAAGAGCATTCAATCTTCCCATCCTTATCAGTTATTTGTAAATACTTAAAGAAGGTTCTGCGGAGGAGAGAATTTGCGTACGAATTTGCGTACGGTTGAGGATTCTGCCATTCTATGGGTTTCGCGAGCTTCGCTTAGCTTTCGAGCTTCGCTATAGGTTTTGAGCTTTGCTTAGCTTTCGAGCTTCGCTTCGCTATAGGTTTTGAGCTTCGCTTAGATTTCGAGCTTCGCTGTAGGCCGCTGTAGGTTTTGAGCTTCGCTTAGATTTCGAGCTTCGCTATAGGTTTTGAGCTTCGCTTAGCTTTCGAGCTTCGCTATAGGTTTTGAGCTTCGCTTAGGTTTCCAGCTTCGCTTCGCTTTTGAGATTCGCTATATAGGTTTTGAGCTTTGCTTAGTTTTTGAGCTTTGCTTAGTTTTTGAGCTTCGCTTATAGGTTCAGTTCGTGCTTCGCCATTTTAGTCATTAGATAATTGTCATTAGATAATTGTCATTCATAGTCCCATGTATAGATAGTCATTGCATAGTCATTAATTTCACAGTCACTATATAGTTTAAATAAAGTTTTGTATGTATGTATAGTCATTGCATAGTCATTCTTTACTTTTTAGTCAGCTCTTTAGTCGCTAAGTCTTGCTGGTTTCTTGCATAATATGTGTCTGTTTTGCTCGCACGTCAACTTCTATGCACTACGACGACCAATCACAAACGCACAACGCAACATGCACTTTGAACATCACGCCATCTCCAAGCCTGACCCAACCGGTTTCGCCAACACCTTCGCGATGAGTATTTTATGTAGCACAGTGCAACGCCCTAAAATTAGTAGATGTATTTTGTTACTAATATTCGTAAATATATATATATATATATATATATATATATATATATATATATATATATATATATATATATATATATATATATATATATATACGAACGGAACTCGGCTAAACTATTCTAGATGAGGCTGATAAACTCCATGTAACGCTAAATACCCTTAAATTAATACCGTCTACTTTGGAAGTGATTCGAGACACATATATTGAATAAAATTACTAGTTGACTAAATGAGCGCGGATGGAAACAAAGTAAATCGCAAACGGGTTCCTTGGCCAATGGAATGGTCTTATGAATGCCGCCAAACAGTCATATGTTCACATTGTTACACATATTTCTATTAAGATTTAAGAATTGCCAACTATATACAGTTGTTGGGTTTTGTACTGTTGCCATCGTTCTTTCTTGAATACGAAGCACAACATACAACTTTGGAAGTTTTACAAAGGAATGTTTTAATAATAAAAATCATACATATATACAAAATTATATCTGTAGTATTGTGACATATCACACTCTATTACCATAAATGGTATATACAGTTTGGTGCTATATATCCAGAGATTTAATACATTTTGCATACATACCTGATACCGATATATAGTAATTACCTTCATAAATTGTTGGGATAAAAAATTATATCTATAGTATTGTGACATATCACACTCTATTACCATAAATGGTATATGCAGTTTGGTGGTATATATCCAGAGATTTAATACATTTTGCATACATACCCATATATAGTAATTACCTTCATAAATTGTTGGGATAAAATATTTTCTAAACTTCATATCTCAAATACGGTTTCATATTTCATACGTACTTGCATGATTTTCCCCATGTTGACAAAAAGTTTCTTATTTTAAATTGGAATATTTTTGGAGCTAATATTTTTTGATAATATACGAATCCTTGCGATGTAGGACGACAACGTAACCACGACGGATAATAATACAATGTGAAATTGTTAATAGTTGAAGAAAAGAAATGAATAATGCCAGACGTCGCTCTGCTTTATTCAACGACAAACCACAGATATTTACGTCTTGTGTATAGAAAATCTGCATTTCAAGCCTCTATAGAAGTTGCTCACTGGGCTCGTTACTAAGTGGACCTTTTCTTAACAGTTAAGCACCTATTTTATCTCGAACTGTATTAAATTCAACCCAAATTTACAATTATACTTGATGAATCGTTCTCGCGTTGCCGTTCTACATCGCAAGATCTGCGTGGTCTCTATATGTAATAGACGTAATACAGTGCGGCGCGCTAACAATGGTATTTTCACATTTTTACTGTCTACAATTTTGCCAATATCGGCAATGCTCGTAATATAGATATGTGCAGTGTCGCATGAACCAGCGCAGATTGTATCAAACAGTTGTGGTTGTATACACTATAAGAGTATAGGTTCATGATCTCTTCCCGCACTAGCACTTTTATATTTAATTGAACATTATCTGGCTTCTAGTACGCTTCTTAAAGACATTCATTACTACCATTACGTGAAATATTTTTTATTCAAGAGAGATTCAGTACATTTCTTTCCTAGACAGAATGCAAAAATCACGTATATCTGTAGTGTACACTATATGTACAATTGAAACGACTGACATTTACTTCTCTTCTATAAGTGTTAAAATGGCCGCCATATGAATGTGTGTGTATTATCGCACACCATTTAAATCTGACCAGTTTGCTTCAGAGATTGTGCGCAACATCTCAAATGGTTTTGTATAGCCGTCATTTAAGTCCCAATCAAAACAACGAGCATCGCAGAAGATCACAAACCACCACTGCTTTATATAGTTAGGCTTTGTGTAAACAGAACGGTTCTGTGCCAATGTGCCAATAATAAAATGCAACTGCTTGAAAAATACAAGGAGAACTTCGACGTTTCGAGCGAAGTCGCTTTGTGGGGAAGTGACTTGAAACCAAAGGAGAACTTCGACGTTTGTATTTTTCAGATATAGACTGAGGTAGTTGCATATTATTCCCATCAAGCCAAAGTTGTCGTTTATAA